AAGCACTGGCGAGAGTGACTTCTCGTTTTTAAAACAAACTAGTCTGAATTGCTATAAACGAAACGGAATTTATTTATTTATTTTTTATTTTCTCCTCTTTATTAAAAAACGCGAAAAAACGGAATTTATTATTAAAAGCTTAACTAGATTTAAAAAAAAATTGGCCTGATTGCTGAAAAACTTACAGGATATGAGAAAGTAGATCTGGAATCATTTATTTGCATGCAGGTGAACCAATCAGCAATTGCGAAAGTAGGCCTTCATTTGCATAACGTTGCCTACAATTGCGGTGGCGCAGACGCCATTTTATTTTCTCTCAGAAGAAACTGCGTTCAAAATGCCGGAACCAGCCAAGTCCGCACCGGCCCCTAAGAAGGGCTCCAAAAAAGCGGTGACCAAGGCGCAGAAGAAGGACGGCAAGAAGCGCAAGCGCAGCCGTAAGGAGAGCTACTCCGTGTACGTGTACAAGGTGCTGAAGCAGGTCCACCCGGACACCGGCATCTCGTCCAAGGCCATGGGCATCATGAACTCCTTCGTCAACGACATCTTCGAGCGTATCGCGGGCGAGGCATCGCGCCTGGCGCATTACAACAAGCGCTCGACCATCACATCCAGGGAGATCCAGACGGCCGTGCGCCTGCTGCTGCCCGGGGAGCTGGCCAAACACGCGGTGTCCGAGGGCACCAAGGCCGTCACCAAGTACACCAGCTCCAAGTAGATATACTTGTAGTAACTATCAAACCCAAAGGCTCTTTTCAGAGCCACCTCATGTTTTCACTATCAGAGCTGCGCACGAGAGTGAATACGAGCCGTTAAATACGTGTTATCATAAACACTGATTTAACAAAGCACTTAGGTAGCCGACTTGATGCCTGCGGTTTATACCAACGGTTCCACTTACAAAGGTCCCCGGCAGCCTAACTGAATGTCGGCTGAAATAACCTGCTAACCTCAATTCTTGGAGCTCCAGGTTATCTTCATAAAGTTTGTACAGGGTCCTCCGCTGGCTTCTATGGGCACTTTATGAATCTCTGATCTTGGTTATATGTAACCCGTCACCCTGCGGAATTCGAGAGGCAGCATTTAGGTTTGAAAATCCCTCTCTCTAAAGCCGGAACTTTGTAAGTATGACGTTGTGTGTGTCTACCCAGATTCTTCTGTGTGGATCCAGGACTTCCCTCCTAGCTCAGTCGGTAAAGAATCTGCCTGCAATGCAGGAAAAATGGGTTCGACTCCTGGATCGGGAAAATCCCCTAGAGAAGGAAATGGTAACACACTCCAGCATTCTTGCCTGGAGAATCCCATGGACAGAGAAGCCTTGCGGGCTACACAGTTCATGGGGGTCGCAAGAGTCGGACACGACTGATTTTTCACTACTACTACTTTCTTTTACTCCCTCTCGCCTACCCTAGGTCTTTGCCTAGGGCTTTCGAGTTCTGGCTAAGCATTTTATCTAAGATTCTTTACATGTTTGCTGGCTGCATCTCTCCAGTAAGGGAACAAGTTATTTTTTTATCTTCCGGATTTTAAAGAGGCTCTCGTCATTCGATTTTTTTTTTTTTAAAGAATACAATCATCCCAGTCTCCTGACTCGTTTTACAAACTAAACTTGCAAAGTTCACAGAATTCTGTGTTCAGCCGACTCAGTCGGTGACTCACCGGTGCCGCCACATACTATGAAACCTGTCTCAACAATCTCCATTCCGTCCAGTCACTGTGATCTTCCGAGCCCATCCCCCTATCCTGCCTCTAGTCCTCCCCGCGCTCAGTTCAGAAAAGGCAGCGATCCTGGTGACAAAGAAAAGTGTCCTCAGCGCCGGCTCAGAACGCAAACAAGAACTGTGGATGTAAAGATGCTTTTTAATGTTGTGAGCCGAACACCGAGGTTTGAAAGCCTACGGTTTATGCTCAAGAGAATAAATCCCGAAAAATAAAAGGCAGGGCTCTTCCTCATTTCTCCGGAAACTGCAAGGTAGAGGCGTCCTTTTGGAAGTTAGGAATGAAGGGTTCGGTTAAGGGCACCTCACCCACACCTGGAAATGCCAAATCCACCCAAGAACTGCTATTATTGTCTCAGAAACAATCCTAGGCGGCCTCCCTGGCCAGTCTATCCGAGTTCCCTTTTATTGTCTAAAAAAGGTAAAAAACAAGCACAAGGATACAAACCAGTTTATTTTCAGGTTGCCAATTACAATTGCTCTTGGACTGATTCTGATCACCTTGCTTTGAGTTTGTGGTGATACTGAAACTCTTCTGTCCATAGTGAATTTGGTTTCTATTCCAGAGTCACCGTGGGGGGCTTTATGTTTCGCTTTTTTTTTTTTTTTTAACCGGCTCACAGCCTTTGGTTGATCCCCCATCACACAGAAATCAAAAAATTTATGCTATGGCCAAAAGCCCTGCAAAGTCTGGCCCTCATCTCTCTCCAACCCAAACTAAAATGATTTCTTTTTTCTCTATTTTGTTTTGTTTCTTCATTGCTTTTGGTTTTGTTCCCACCACCCTCCTTCCCCTGCATCCTTTAAACTGTGGGCCTCTTTCTCCAGCCTCCAGGCCTCTGCAATTATTCTTTGCCTGAAGTGTTCCTGATTCCACATCCATCCCCAGCATATACACAGTTTATTGACCAGCAACTCCAATTTCAGCCTAATGACTACATTCTTGGGGAAGCTGAACTCCACTGTTTAAGACTCTCAGAGCCACAAACAACTGGCTGTATACCCACCCTCACCACCCCCCCCACCCCAATTAATCAATACTGAGGGACTTGGGTGGAATCAGAACCCCACTCCTGACCCTAAGAGAGGGACTCTGTTTTCCCTGGGTCACAAAGCAGGGAGAAAATGGAGACCTTAAAAAAACTGAGGTTGTATTAGTAAGCAAAGAGGGCAAATGACCTTTGAGATGGCACGTGCACTGCCTGATGTAAGAACCTTCTAGACAGATAGAAGGTACATCCACCAAGTTCATTGTACATTCAAGTGCCAAGAGCTGAATTATGTACTGAATCTATAAAGAACTTGAGTGTGCATCAGAATCACCCAGATGGCTTGTTAAAGGATAGATTGCTGGCCCCATTCCCAAAGTTTCTGTTTCATTAGCTCTGGGGAGATGTGCAAGCTTGGCTTACAAAAAAAGTGCCCAGCAAATAAAGATGCTCTTTATGTAGTAGGTTTTGAGAACATCTAATATATGGAGAAGAAAAAGCTAACACAGGAGTTCTGGGTGATAAAAATGAGTTTATGGCCTGGAAACAACTCCACTTAGGACTGAGACCCATGTGTGGCCATTATCTTGTTACCTTCTGTCTTGGGCCATCATATTTGATTAATGTACGCATCTGCCCACCTGGATTAATCAGATTTGTTTTCCTAAAATTGAAGAAAAAAGGGACTGAAGAAAAAGGCCTAAGTGTTCAGTAATTCCTTAAATATAGTCAGCAAATATAACTTTCTAGCAAGTTTTTAATTATCTGGAATTGTTTGGTTTTTTAATGTTTACATCCAAAAGAACTTCCATTTGTACACTTTCAATTTCTTAAGAACATATGTAAACTATATTTGTTGAATATATACATAAACATATTCCTAGGTTGTTTCACTCAATCCTCACAAAAATATTAAGTTACACCTACATTACAGATAAGGGAACAGTGGTTAGCAATTTGCTAAAGACCACAAATATAGAAAATGATTATTCAAGACTTCAAGTGTATGTCATCATGGTTCAAATGCCACATTCTTTTTCTCCATGTCTCTTTGATGTCATGAAAAATAAGAATACCAATAATGCAAATAACAACAGCCAAAACATAGAGCATTTACCATGTGACAGACAGTGGCCAAAATATGAAGTACTAGTTAATGTCATTCACCCCCAAAACTGTAAGATTGGAAGTAAAGTTATCTCCATTTTACAGATAAGGAAAGAGTCATACAGAGGTTTAAATGGCTTATCCAACGAGAGACAAAGAATAGCATCCCTGTGCACAAAGTTTCCGTCTCCTTTTTATCTCTGAAGAGGGGTATTGAGATTCTTTCTTGAAAACCTAATAAACTATTTATTCAATGGCATAGATTATTAAATATTTAAACTCTAAATATTTAGAGCCAACATAATGACTTTGTAAACGTGTGCAGTGTGCTCAGTTGCTCAGTGGTGTCCAACTCTTTGCAACCCCGTAGACGGCTAAATATATATATAATACACACAGTCGATTTACAATGTTAATTACCAAGTAGTTTTCTCTAGTAGAATTTAACAGCCTTCAAAATATTTTATGATCAGTCACACACTCCCCTTTATTATGTCCGAGAAGGCATGCTGTTTTAGTATCTTCAGTTCAAGCTCAATGCGTATCTAGATTTTTCCATTTTCCTAGCATCAGTTTTCTTTTTGTTTCTAGGCGCCTTTCAGCTTTTCACTAACGGCTATGCAAAGTGTCTACCGCACTGAGCTGGCCTGTTCACTGCTACTGCTGCTAAGTCACTTCAGTCGTGTCCGACTCTGTGCGACCCTATAGACGGCTGCCCACCAGGATCCACCAGTCCCTGGGATTCTCCAGGCAAGAACACTGGAGTGAGTTGCCATTTTCTTCTGCAGTGCATGGAAGTGAAAAGTGAAAGTGAAGCCGCTCAGTCGTATCCGACTCTTTGCGACCCCATGAACTGCAGCCTACCAGGTTCCTCTGTCCATGGGATTTTCCAGGCAAGAGTACTGGAGTAGGTTGCCATTGCCTTCTTCGGCCTGTTCACTACTACTCGCTAAATATACAGTTCAAGTATATTAGATGGAAATTGAATCACCTCTGGTGATCTCCAACCTGAAACGCAGGGGGCTAAAAAAAAAAAAAAAAAGTTAAGCCGATGGACTAAACCCAGTAGCGGCCTAAACACCTCCGTGTTACATCACAAAGCGCCAAACTCTTTTAAGTGAATGGATAAGTGGCCCTGAAAAGGGCCTTTGGTTTTACTCGGCTATGCCAAATAGCAGCCTGGAACTTAGCCGCCGAATCCATAAAGGGTGCGGCCCTGGCGCTTGAGCGCGTAGACCACGTCCATGGCGGTGACAGTCTTGCGTTTGGCGTGCTCGGTGTAGGTGACGGCGTCCCGGATCACGTTCTCCAGGAACACCTTCAGCACGCCGCGAGTCTCCTCATAGATAAGCCCAGAGATCCGCTTAACACCACCACGGCGGGCCAGACGACGAATGGCAGGCTTAGTGATGCCCTGGATATTATCCCGGAGAACTTTACGATGGCGCTTAGCACCACCTTTTCCGAGACCCTTTCCTCCTTTACCACGTCCAGACATGTTGGAGCCGCAGATTGAACCACAGCGAACAAGGTTAAGGGCGCCTTTAGAGTATTTATAGTAAACGAACGGACCTGTTTGAAAACTGCAAGAGCAGGGGCGGTAACCACGTTCAGTTCCCGCCCTTCGCTTATTTGTCGCTTGGTCACGGCTGTAGCAGCTAGGCAAGGCGCCTGCAGGGACTGGATCTTGAAGATGGGATATAAATTTTTTTCCTACTTATGGATTCCTGTGTTTGTGCGTGCATACAAAACGGGCAGCCATTAACTGAGGCAACAGTTTATACACTTTCCCCAAAGAAGCCTGATACCTTCTTCAGACTTCCTAGAATATTGCATAATCAGATAACACATGCTATTGTCCTTTATGAAGTGCTTTAACTACAGATTTAAACAAAGCCATTGAGTGCTACACTGGAGATATATAAATATATATACCCTAAAGTGAATTTTAAAAAAACTTATTGGGCTGTAAGCCTAAACTTTGTGGTATGATTATAAATTAATTTACAGACAGGTTGTATCTGGCATTATATCTGTAACCACATTCTATTTCTGCAAGCCAGTGGCATTACTCCAGTCACGCTCTGGAGACAGCATGCTCCACATACTGGCTTGTAACCTTGAGCAGTCTATACATTTTTTTTCCCCCTTTTAAGTGTATAAGAAAGTGTAAATTATAGGGCACTGAAATTTAAAAGAGATAATACAACTTTTTTAAAACATCTGCAAATAAACAATTATTCAGCATTATTTATTATGACATATTACAGTTCCTGTGTTCTCTCAACTCCTCCACTCAAAACTCATGTCTCTAAAGTGAAAGTCTAAGTATTTAATTTACTAAAACCTTCCTTTGAGGATTCCACAAAATAGCACATAAAAATTTAGATTTTTTTTTTTAATGTGTTCGTCGCTGTGTCCTGTCTGATTCTTTGCGACCCCATGGACTGTAGCCCACCAAACTCCTCTGTCCATGGAATTCTCCAGGCAATACCAGAGTGGGTAACCATTCCCTCCTCCAGATCTTCCCCACCCATGAATCAAGCCCTGGTCTCCTACATTGCAGGCAGTTCCTTTAGTGTCTCAGCCACCAAGGAAGCTCACATAAAGATTTAATGAATGGTTTATTCCTCTGAGTTCCAGTTGACTTATTCTTTTTTTTCTTTTTCTCCATGATCTTTGAGGAGAACCAAGATCATCAGAGCTCTATGGTCTGTGAGGACAACCAAGATTATCAAAGCTAATCCATGAGTGTGCAGTGCACAGAAACAAATTCCAGAATAGACTTCTTAACCTGGGACATATAGATGGATTCAGATCATTGTATAGAACAAAAACTCCAACTTTATTTTTATTATACTACAACCAAACCTTAGCATTTCCTCCTATTCTGAATGCAGGCAACAAACAGTCTGGGTGACAGAACCTGAGCTATATTCATATCAAGTCGCAGTAGCAGCTGTCAATCTCCATCTCTCATATTGTTTAAATATATTACACCTTCTAAACTTGGTCATATGGGTAATCTTGTTATGTAGTGAATTAATAAAGAATACATGCATACCTCAGCAATTTGGATTTTTTAATAAATTTGATAATGATATTTTAATACAACTGTTTTCCTTTGTAATCCTATGTATATTAACTTAAGCACTAAAAAGTACTATTCTGGAAAGGGGCTCATAAGCTTTATCAAAAATACAAAGAAGTCCAGGCTACTTAAATATAAACACAGTATGTTAAAGACATATTTTGAGGAGTGAAAAAGAAAATCAAAGCTCTTTTTACTTTTTCCCATCAATCTATTTCCTAGTGAACAGAAAGTAAGTTACAATATGTTTCCTATAAACTTATATCCTTGATTAAATAAGAAACATAGTAGTGAATATAAATGCTTTTAAATTTCACTCTCTTAAGGGAATTATGTAGGTGTGTGAATGTTGTGCATGTGTATGTTCCTTAATTCTGTTACTTACTTTCCCAAAGTGATCTTCCAGAAACATGACAGAACTCAGAACTCAAGAGCTTGTGAACATTTTAATAAGTGATCCTTCTTAGTAAAATCAAGGTAAATGAAATAATTTTTAAAACCCATAAAGCAGTCTTTACATTGATCTTCTCTGCCATCAGCTAGTGCAACACAAGCACAACTGTCATGACAAGATGATCATTAGTTATTGCTTTTGCCACCTTCCTAGACAAATTTTGAATGCCTAAAGGCCCCAAATTAACTAATGCTCTAAATAGTCACAAGAAGCTATGATAAAATTTTTTCAAACTAAATAATGACTTTTCTTATCAGATATTGCTACTATTCCAAGGAGCCTTTACTATACAGTTTTATGTAGGGAAATCCTGAAAAAGTCTGTGTTATTTCTCCTCATATGAAACAGATTTTATGTGCAAATCTCAATAAGAATCAAGCCGTTGTTGAAGGCATGAAAAGCCAAGAATCTATAGAATGTCACTTGAGAGCATGTTATTGAAGACACAAAGAGAATATTTGTATTTTAAAAGAAAATAAAAAAGTTGTCCTTCTGACCTCTGAATCTGCATGACTGTCAGGGGCTTTTGAAAAAGGCTTTGAACAACGTGATAAAAACTGGAGGAAGTAACCACAAAAGTCTCAAACCATGAGATGTCCTGGTTCATTGTAGAATATACTTGGTGTGATGCCTCCACAGGAAATTTTTTATTTTTTGCTTTCTTGAATTGTAACAAACACAATTCCGGGACAGAGCTGAGACTAGGTTGCTGTCAAGATGAAGACAGCTGGGAACCAATCAGCGCGCGGTGGCGCTCTGTGTATAAATACAGAGACGTTCGGAGGCCCGGCTACTCAACTCAGATACTTTTTTTTTACTGTTAGATAACCAAACCGACAATCATGTCTGAAACTCTACCTGCCGCGCCTCCTGCTCCTTCTCCTGCGGAGAAGACAGCCGTGAAGAAAAAGGCCCACAAGTCCACCGGTGCCGCGAAGCGCAAGGCGTCCGGGCCCCCGGTGTCCGAGCTCATCACCAAGGCTGTCGCCGCCTCCAAGGAGCGCAGCGGCGTGTCTCTGGCTGCGCTTAAGAAGGCACTGGCGGCTGCCGGCTACGATGTGGAGAAGAACAACAGCCGCATCAAACTGGGTCTTAAAAGCCTGGTGAGCAAGGGCATTCTGGTGCAGACCAAGGGCACCGGGGCTTCCGGCTCTTTCAAGCTCAACAAGAAGGCGGCCACCGGGGATACCAAACCCAAGGCGAAGAAAGCGGGCGCGGCCAAGCCCAAGAAGGCTACCGGGGCGGCTAAGAAGTCCAAGAAAGTCACGGGTGTAGCCGCCCCGAAAAAAACCGCTAAGAAAACCTTGAAGGTGAACCCTACTACTGGGGCCAAGAAAGTGGCCAAAAGCCCGAAAAAGGTGAAGACAGCCAAGCCCAAGGCGGCCAAGAGCCCGGTCAAGGCTAAAGTTCATAAGCCCAAGGTAGCTAAGCCTAAAGCGGTCAAGCCAAAAAAGGCGATCCCCAAGAAGTAGCAGCATTGAGGATTTCTTTCTTAAAGGCTCTTTTCAGAGCCACACAACTCCGCTTAAAAGAGCTTGTGATACGTATTTTACCTGAGCTACGGGGGGTTTCTCTTCCCTCGAAATGGAGATGCGAGCACACAACTCTTTCACAGAAAAAGTGGTGGCTCTGAGAAGAGCCTTTGGGTACAAAGTTGGTACTTATTGGGGGAAAAAACATCTAGGCCCTCTCCCCACGGATGCGGCGGGCGAGCTGGATATCCTTGGGCATGATGGTGACGCGCTTGGCGTGGATGGCACACAGGTTGGTGTCCTCAAAGAGCCCCACCAGGTAGGCCTCGCACGCCTCCTGCAGCGCCATCACGGCCGAGCTCTGGAAGCGCAGGTCGGTCTTGAAGTCCTGCGCGATCTCGCGCACCAGCCGCTGGAAAGGCAGCTTGCGAATCAGCAGCTCCGTGGACTTCTGGTAGCGGCGGATCTCGCGCAGAGCCACCGTGCCGGGCCGGTAGCGGTGCGGCTTCTTCACGCCGCCGGTGGCCGGCGCGCTCTTGCGGGCCGCCTTGGTGGCCAGCTGCTTGCGCGGCGCCTTGCCGCCGGTAGACTTGCGAGCAGTCTGTTTAGTGCGAGCCATGACAGATTTCCCAAAAGCGGCTAACTGATGGAAAAACGAAGCCCTGCCCCTTTCTTCCAGTATATATAAAGAGAGTCCCATTCTGATTGGACAAGTCAACTGTTCCTTATGGCTCGCAGTGAACGTATTGGTAGACAAGTTCACTCCCCGATGACGTAAGCCTTCTTTTGAATGGCTGTTTTCAACCCTTTCTCGCCTCCGTCTCCTTATGCCATTTCTTTACAACGTTCTGTGGCTTTTCTCCGCAGAATTTAACACAATTTATCACAATGCTTAATGTTTTTCGTGGAATAAAAATTTTTAAATTTGGCACCTGAGACTGGCTTTTTTTTTAAAATCACTTTCTGAAAAGGCGTATGTTGCATGTGGTTGGTCAAGTTATTTTTATATCCTCATTCAAGTTTAGTAAAGCTAATTTTGCATAAATTTATACATTTCTCTTTTTGAACTCTTTCAACAAAGTACTTTCCTTTTTTTTATATTACATCTATGTATTGGTAGATTGTATTATCTATAAATTCCACTTCAGTATAAGAAAGGGAGTATCTACAGTATTTGTTACAGAAAGAGTGTTAGACATAATAGGATTGAGAACCATCACTTTAGTGGTTCAGAGATAAGAAAGCAGAAGTTGGAAAGAAGCCTGAAAACCCACAAACCAGGCCCCCTGAACACACCCTCCTCTAACTTCCCCATAAGACCTAAATGGCTTTCCCTTGGCAGTCACTGGATGGGCTCTTGCAGTTCATTCCAAGCCATCATGTACCAGTGTCAATTTTTTGCCTGGAGTGAGAGCTGTGGCCATAAGAGAAAAGAATCCCTAGAATTACAGTACAGTGTATAATAATGATATATAAAAGTTTCAGATTTTGCACTCATATAGATTGTGATCTGATTATATCTCTAAAATATGGGGGAAAGGGAGAGGAAAGACACCTTCTGGAAAGACATAACACCTTTTAGGAACTATTAAGGAGTCAACTACTATAACTGTTATGAATCCAGACTGGATTAACAGTGGGTTAACTGGGTTAATCATCCCAGTTTGGATGGTCTGGTTACCTCTACCTCAAATGAAAGTCCAGGTCTCAATCTCTGAACTCCTCTGCCTAGAAGATACGAAACCGAACTTTGTTAGATATTCTATTAAAGAAGAGGACTTAAAATAAATAAATAAAATTAAATAAAGAAGAGGACTTGTCTTCACGGGAGACAAGCTGAAACATATAGTAACCCCAAACCACAGACAGACTGGGGCCTGTGCAGGCTTCAGTTCTTATTAGAGATTCTTGATATTTCTTTGTACAGAATTTTGGAGAATGCACTAAAACCATTAACCCTGAAATAATCTCACACTTCCTATTGTATTAAACCAAGTGTAACTGTTTGCTCCTTGAACTCAAGGTGACCCAGTATTAAGCCTACCTAAATGAATTTTAGCTCCAGTCTATGAAGTACTATATGTCTATTCACAATTAACTAAGGCACAGCTCAGTAGAGACTGGCTATTAAAAGCGAAAGTGTGAACTGCAGATCAATTTGTCCCATTAGAAAGGAAAATAATTCCTTTCAACAAGGAGTAGCACTAAAGGAGTGGCTTTAACAACCTGTAGATCACTATCTCCATGTCAACTTTCAGTATCTACTTTTCAATATCTTACTGCAACTCTTTTCTCAAGATTTACAACCCTAAGAACCTGCTGAATTGATCAATTTAAGTTACTTGTTATAGAAGGCTTCTGTAGATCACATACATAGCAGATAAATTTTTCTAACTTTAAACCAGGTGATTGGCGTTTCAAAATGTAAATACTGACATAAAGATAAGCAAATTCTACTGAAAAGCATTCCGATTAAAAAAAAAAATGTAAGCCCTTTTAATGAATACGTGGGTGGCTCTGAAAAGAGCCTTTGGCTAAGATTGAATGCTCAAGGAACAATAACTTGACTATTCCAGTTTATTTCCCCTTGGCCTTATGGTGGCTCTCAGTCTTCTTGGGCAGCAGCACCGCCTGGATGTTGGGCAGGACGCCGCCCTGAGCGATGGTGACTTTGCCCAGCAGCTTGTTGAGCTCCTCGTCGTTGCGGATGGCCAGCTGCAGGTGGCGCGGGATGATGCGGGTCTTCTTGTTGTCCCGGGCCGCGTTGCCCGCCAGCTCCAGGATCTCGGCCGTCAAGTACTCCAGCACCGCCGCCAGATACACCGGCGCGCCCGCACCGACACGCTCGGCATAGTTCCCTTTGCGAAGCAGACGGTGCACTCGGCCCACAGGGAACTGAAGTCCAGCCCGCGAGGAGCGTGTCTTGGCCTTAGCCCGGGCTTTGCCACCTTGTTTTCCGCGTCCAGACATTTTAACGATCTAGACCACACCACCAGCGGAAAAAAAAAAGGAACACAAATTAGCTTAGCAAATCAGAGGCAATTATACTTGTAAGCCGAATCGTGAATTAAGCTGTTTGATTGGCTAAACTGTCTTAACAGTAGCAACCAATTAAAAACGAGTACTGATCGCACATAATTTGCATACCTCCATACTACTAAAAAAACTTATCCAATCAGACTGCAAACTTTACATACCACATTTGCATACTGCTTCTACAAATATCAGGACCAATGTAACAGTAGTACAGTTTTTTCTTTGATTGGAAGGTGCATAGTTTGTTAGGTATGCCTGAACCAGCCAAGTCCGCTCCTGCCCCAAAAAAGGGCTCTAAGAAAGCGGTGACCAAGGCGCAGAAGAAGGACGGCAAGAAGCGCAAGCGCAGCCGTAAGGAGAGCTACTCCGTCTACGTGTACAAGGTGCTGAAGCAGGTCCACCCGGACACCGGCATCTCGTCCAAGGCCATGGGCATCATGAACTCTTTCGTCAACGACATCTTCGAGCGCATCGCGGGCGAGGCATCGCGCCTGGCGCATTACAACAAGCGCTCGACCATCACATCCAGAGAGATCCAGACGGCCGTGCGCCTGCTGCTGCCCGGGGAGCTGGCCAAACACGCGGTGTCCGAGGGCACCAAGGCCGTCACCAAGTACACCAGTTCCAAGTGATTCCGACAAAGGGGCGTCTATTCATATTCCAAAGGCTCTTTTAAGAGCCACCCACTTTTTCAGCGGAAGGGTTGTAGCAACTGCCGGTTGCCAAAATTCGTTTTTCTTTCCATTATTTTGCCCAAAGCAGTTTGTTCCTGTGGGATGCTAACACTGCCGATACACACACCATTCCGTTGAAAGCATAATAATGTTCCTTTACTTTAGGTCATTAGCAACATGGCTGCTTTTTTTTTTTTTCTTTTCACTGCTCACTAGCTCAAGGCTAGCCAAGTGTGGACATGCAAGTATCATCTAAACTGGTGTGATAGTGTGCCTTACAAACAATTCATGAAAGAGCAACTTTAGTTTTACAATGCTCCTTTTTTATCAGTGCAAGGTGGGCTTACCAGGTCCGTAACGGACAAGGTGATAGGAGCGTACTGCACGCAGGGCCGAGCGGTTGCAAACACCAGACCAAGCTGCATGCAGTTGGGAAGACACCCGCTGTGGGCAGAGCCTGTGACAGGCTGACCAGGGTAAGCAGGGAGGCACCGCAGTCTGCTGCAATCTCCCGGTGGCTAGTGTACGCATCCATTTTACCGGTGAGGAGATGCGATTTGGTGGGGAGCGGCACCTGCTCTCAGCCCAAGAACCGGCAGGCTTTCCAGTCCCAGAGTGTCCAGCCTCTGAAAGGTCTTGCTGAGCAGTAGAGAGCTAAAGCTCCCACCCTCACCTCACCCAGCAGCCCCACATCAAACCCAAAATGTCCAGCCAGTACAGCACCTGTGAGGCAGTTCTGGGCCCTTACCAGTCAAGGAAGCAGAGCGTGGCGGGGGAAAGCCTGGCTTGCCCAGGATCTGGAGCCTTGGATGCAGAACCCACTGACCACCATCTTCCGCAGGAGGCGCCCTGTGTTCGGGGTGTGATCCTGGCTGTGACACCAGGAGCAGGCTGACCATGTGGTATGTGCTATATGGGGGATGTAATGCAATGCTTCTCTTATTAGTGTTGTGTTAATAAGAAAATGTACATGTATTCGATTTATTTGCTTAAAGCAATGTAACTTTTCAAAATATTAATGGGAACAGGGCAGTTAATGAACATAGTGGTTGAAAAGTGAGTATCACTGTTTCCAGAACAGGGCCATTTAGTTGTAAAGAGAATTTGTGCAAGGTTTCTCTAATGAAAAATTAGGCCATTGCCGAACTACCATATTAGGATTCATAACACTGGCAGTTCAGGAAAGAAATGCCCAGAAGGTATTTTGGTGCATCCTCTCCCTTAAACTATGTTAGTTTCTAGCAAGGTGTATTTCATATGATTGTTTTCATCTCGGTCAACAACAAAAAAAATTAATGAAAAAACAATTCATACGTCATTCCAGTTACCACCACTCTCCTGTCATATGATCACATATATGACAGTCATTATAACTTACCGTTTCTCATAATTACAAACCTAGGAGTGTGTGTGCTCAGTCGCTTCAGTCTTGTCTAACTCTTTGTGACCTTCTGGACTGTAGCCCACCAGGCTCTTCTGTGCATGGGATTCTCCAGGCAAGAATACTGGAGTGGGTTACCATGCCCTCCTCCAGGGCTTCTTCCAAGACCAGAGATCCAACCCTCCTCTCCCACATCTCCTACCTTGCAGGCGTATTCTTTACTGCTCAACCACAAGAAAAGCCCCATTTACAAACCTGCTTAAGGTTATAAACCGCTATAAATGACATCCCATATTGAACAAATGCTAGGAGTGTATTTTAAACTACTTTAGGATTTCAACCCTGGTAGGAAAAAAGTCATAATAGCCTATAACATTGTGTAAATTACTTTCATGAATTGCAGACTTCCCACTCAAAGCACAACACTTAAATTTACAACACAACATACACAAAAATGTATGCAAACATTCAAATAACACAACATACATAAAGGAGAAGGCAATGGCAACCCAGTCCAGTACTCTTTCCTGGAAAATCCCATGGACAGAGGAGCCTGGTAGGCTGCAGTCCATGGGGTCGCGAAGAGTCGGACTCGACTGAGCGACTTCACTTTCACTTTTCACTTTCATGCATTGGAGGAGGAAATGGCAACCCACTCCAGTGTTCTTGCCTGGAGAATCCCAGGGACGGCGGAGCCTGGTGGGCTGCCATCTGTGGGGTTGCACAGAGTCGGACACGACTGAAGCGACTTAAGAGCAGCTTAGCAGCACCCTTTCTTGCAGTTGAATTTTTTAAATATAAGGAGAGATTCACATAGGATGGACTGTACTCAAAACATAGCAAATATTTATTAGCATTCATTTCCCCATTACTTTTGTATTTTCACATGCCTCCACCCTTCCTTAGCTTTTATAGGAGAAGGAAAATGGGGGGAAAACATTGGGAAAAATTTCTTATCCTATACTCCAGATTATTAACGTAAGCAGGAAGTACTGAAAATATCCTGAGAAAATCAGCATTGTGAGAGAATTACGGCATTACCTTGGTAAAGAGGTGATGGTTGTGGTAAAAATGTTTCAATTAAGAAGATACTTAGCCTGTACCCATCCATACTGAACTCAATCACTGACCCGTGAAAAAATTACCTATCGGTGATTAAATTCTTGATATGTACCCATTTACACTGAATATTTGAAAAGTGTGGCCCTGTATGTAAGTTACCAGTATCCTCCAAACACACAAGTCATCTTGTAAAACTATATTAGACAGAAGTAACGTAAAGATATTATTATTTCTATCATTTTTAAGGATTATTTAAATTTATATAATACCGTTAGGATAGTGTAAGAGAAACCTGATTTTCACCAATCACCAGCTAGATTTTTATTTAATGTTACTTTGTATCCTCAGGACTTTTCAGATATTACACCATGGATACAATTGAAATCAGATTTAGCAGAAAGAGTAATGCTAGAACTTTAAGGTATAGAAAAACTATTCCTGAAATTCTGTTCTTAAATCTGTTTAAAACAGGTGCTTTGTCTTCATATATGAAAGTTTCACCTCTATTCTAGTCTCCATAATTTTTTCTTTATTCTCTTAACTAGAGCATTGAGATGCATTAAATTAATTCACTCTTTTATTTAAACTTAAGGAACACCCACTACTTCACAATCCTGGACTATTTATCTGAGGCCAGGATAAGTAACATAATATATTGAAGATTACTTTAAAAATATATAGTCAGTCCATGAAATCATCCATACATTTAAAGTATATTCTTAGATTACACCAGGCCACCAGAAGTCTAGGTACCTAGTAATTGTGTTTGTACTTCAGAAAAAAATACATTTAGGGGAACCTATGGCAAAAGTGATTATGGAAACAAAAATCCTAAGGAACTAACCCATTGAGAGATTAACCACGACAGTTTTTTTGATTAAAAAATTGTCTAATTGTTAAAAATAAGCAAGTTTTGGTTACTGAATGCAATAGAAGCTATGTCTTCCATCTCAATCTAGTCGGGCAGCCTTCTGTTTGATAATTGAGAGATTCAAGGTCATTCTGTCCATGACTTTCTCACTGTGAGAGCCTCAGGCTCCCCCACTGGATGCTCCCCATCTGTGCTAAGGAAGATGGGGAGAGAGTATGGGGGCTGTCATGAAAAGTACGTTAGAGACTATACCTAGATTAGATAAACCTTAATATTTTCCATATTACTTTGAACAGAACTCAGTAAGATGCCTCTATCTAACTGCTGTGTAATATGGAATACCTGGGGTTCTGTTACATCATGAGCTTAGCAACAATATTGTTGAAGATGGTACCTCTGAGCTGCAGAATTTTCACTGAGCAGTTTGATGTTGTTGACTTCTTTTTATGGCCAATAGCTATTGTGTAAAAGACAAATCTCATTTGTCATAATGCAAGTAGGTATGTGAGTCTTTACAGTGGGTGTGGATGTACATTTTCCTCTGTTGTCTCGCTTTGTTTGCTTATTCCCTTTATATAGCTGATAAATTCATTGTGTATTTTATGTAATTGTATGAAATAATTGATGCTTACTGTAATAAATCCATGATCATATAAATTTAAAAATAAATAAATGTATTTTTAAATAAATGCAAAAAAAACCATACATAAAGAACAAAAGCAACAACATATATATGCATTATATAAATGTACATTATATAATATATATTATATATACTGAAATAATTTTTAAAAACCATATAGCTGTACTTAAGACTTCATATTATTGTAAATAGACAATTTTTGCTTTCTGTAGTCCCAGAGGTAAATATCTAAACCAGGTATACTACATGAGCTTTAGTGGAGTATATGAACTCCCAGAAATTACATACAATAGTGTGTCCATA